TATATATATATATATATATATATATATATAATGAGGATTATTTTTTATTGAGATCAGTAGTATCCAGTGGACGAGATGATTAATTAGAAATTATTTTTTAATCAGTTCTTTCAATGTAAACGGCAATCCTTTATGTGAGTGCGTGAGTGTGAGTGTGGGTGTCGCAGGTGGTGGAGCTGGGCGTGCAGCTGTCGCCGGCGCCAGGCCAGTCCACCAACATCTCGCTGCTGTACACGGACGTGGCGCTGCACTCGGTGTCGCAGAGCGTGGCGTCGTTCGTGGTGCCGTCGCTGGCGGACCAGTGGGCGCGGCTGGCGCTGCGCGTGGGCGCCGACAACGTCACGCTCTTCCTCAACTGCGACGAGTAAGATCAAAACTAATAACGATAATGATAATAAATAATAAATAATAATAATAATAATAATAATAATAATAATAATAATAATAATAATAATAATAATAATAAAGATAATTATATTTGTTTTCCTGCATTTGGATGATTGCCAGGTGGTAACAGTAAGACTAACGATTTACAAAACAACACAATAAAAGAGATTACAACTACGTCTTCAACTATAATTCCATCAAATGATGGTACAATTCAAGGACTGTCTCTAGAAGCCCATGCAAAACGAACTGTTATATAAAACGTTACCATCAATCGCATTAATTATGTACACACACCCGCGCGCGCGCGCACGCACGCACGCACGCACACACAGATATATACACAAATGAAGAATGCTCACACGTCCACACATTTTATACTCAGATTTGTTGTATAACACGAACACACACTTGCCTTACATAGTATAAATAGCTACATTTGCATACAGAAACACTTAGTTACACATACTATACGTGCATTCATATACAAATTCAATATCATAAACATTCATACACTTAATACACGGTCATACAGTTTCTTCTTTAAAATTTAGATTCAGATTCTTTTATACTCAGATTTGTTGTTTAAATTCAAATTTCTTTGTTTAAATTCAAATTTCTTTGTTTACATTCAAATTTTTGTTCAAATTCACATTTCTTTGTTTAAATTCACATTTCTTTGTTTAAATTTCACATTTCTTTGTTTAAATTCACATTTCTTTGTTTAAATTCACATTTCTTTGTTTAAATTCACATTTCTTGTTTTAAATTCGCATTTCATGTTTTAAATTCGCATTTCATGTTTTAAATTCACATTTTTTTGTATTAAATGCGCATTTCTTGTATTAAATGCGCATTTCTTTTTTAAAATTCAGGTACGACACTGTGGCGGTGAAGCGCGAGCCCCGCGAGCTGGTGTTCGACTCGGCGTCGACTCTGTACGTGGGGCAGGCGGGGCCGCTCATCAAGGGCGCCTTCGACGTGAGTCCACCCCCACCCTCTCGACATCAAATCGCATCAAACGCACGAACGACTTCTCTTTGCATTCTACATTGATATTGCCAACTAAATGGATGACTGACGTTTGGGAATTCATTGAATATAAATTGCGGAAATTCTGCAAAGTATTCTGAAACTTTTTGAAACTAATATGTTGGCGGCAATATTGAAAAAAAGTCAAATAAATTTCAGAAGTTGAACAGTTTTGTGATGATGTCGGGGGTAATTGCATTTTTCTATTTACGTATATTACTTCTAAGAGATTGGTCTTGCAACATATTTATTCAAGTTTAATCTCGGGTACTGAATAAGTGAATGTGAAATTATCTGTACCGTGAGATCAGTTTATATTAAAATTTAAGACAGCAAACCAAGATATTACGTATTGCAGTGGTTTAACGCACTCCCACTGGTAAACATATCTGCTATTCGTCTTGACGTATTATTGATATAACCACTCGATAAAATTAATTTTTCCAAACGACCACTTTCCACGCCTCTTCTTTAAAATATCTCATTATACGAAAACCCAGCCTTCAATTGAATAAAAATTGCATTCCTATCCTTTAAAGTGAACTGTTCTATATCCCTACAATTAAAATGTTCACAATTTTTTTTAGTAAAACTAACTTCTCCAACACAATTTTATATTGCAATGGTGTCTGCACGCAGAACTTTCTAATATTTGCGTGTCTGAATTTCTAAATTTTTTGTTAAATTTTAAATTTGTGTGTAATGCACAATTTATATATATACAACTTTCCTTTTTTAACAGTTTTTAATTAACCCAATTACACAGTATATCTCTGTTTCCATAACTTTTCACAGTATTTTTTAAATATTATTTCCATAAAACAATTTAGAGACAAAGTAAAATCCTTCGTACCGTAAGCAAACCCCGAGCACAAATTTGCGCAAGTATTCCAATTCCACTTGAATGGCGAGTTAATAAAGGTTATTCCTTGTTTATTTGCACAAATAGTCGTTTGCGTATGCGCTCGTGAAAAACGCTCCTCCGTGAGGTCAGCGCTGGCCTCGGAGCCGCACGTGGCGCAGTCCCAGAGGCGCCGCTCGGCGGCGCACGTACACGTACACGTGCACTTGCGCGGTGCCAGCGGGGGGCGGGGGCGACGGGGGCGGGAGCGGTCCGTGGACACGCGCCGCGCTCGGCCGAGGCACGGGGGAGGGTCGCGGGTCAGACAAAGTACGCGGAGGAGGAAGCTGCTGGCTGTGCTGGAGGCCGAGCTCTAGGTTTGGACAGGCGGAGGTGGCTAAGGGCGTCAACGGTTGTCACTGCAGTGCTTCAGGTTGGGAGCTCGTAGGGTTCCACTCCCAAGGGTTGCACGACTTTCGACACTGGTGTATCAGCTTGGTCGAATTCAGGCGCTGTCTGGTGGAGAATTCCAGCGGCCGCCTGATCTGATCGGTAGTTTTGCGTGGTTTCTCCGATCAACACCATGCAAATGCCGGAGCAGTATGTTAACAAATGGGCCACAGACCGCGCGCGATCATTCCTTCCTCTTCTTTGCCTTTGCCCCACCCTTTACTAACACCCACTTACACCCATATACACTATACTACCGCACAAGTTAAGAAACTAGTCGGAATCTTGAATTTTTCTCCAGTTGCCTAGCTAGTGGGAGATACCTGGATGGGGAAAACCCCGAACGCTACCATGGAGATTGACACTGGATCTCACCAAACCGTTAGGGATGTTCACTGCGACCGCTCGCCATAAAACATACACCACGCTTGCGGGAATAATGACCTTAGTCGATGCCGTGGCCTGTATCTCTTATAATGAATCAAACCCTAGCGCGGATTTGGAGGCGTGTGGGGCGGGGGGTTGCGGCAGCGGCTTTACGGAGGGGAGTGACCCACCTGATGGGTTTAATTAGATATTTCTTCCCAGAATCACGTGCGCTATCACTCTCTTACATTTGTGCACATCATGCTTTATTAATGTGTAGCAGTGCGTACGTACTGGCTTATGTATGAGCTTGTGGTCGTGCATAAGCCATACCCGGAAATAATTGGTACATCCACGGAATAAATGTGTCAAATTCGCGATTAATCTGGAATAAGGGAATAGTTCAACTACATCGGGGGAATTAGCTCATAATACCACTCCAATTGTTCGCCAATTCAAAACGAAGCCGCACAGAGGTAACTGTCAGAAATGCAATAATATACCACACGGTAGATTATAT